TAAGCACCGTACATGTACACATACGAGGTGTAAACATGCTCTTGCATAGATTTATGCAATACAATGTTCATTAAAAGTGTACGTACTTCTATGAAAGTATTTGTGTTTTGTCGTTTGACCATTCTTGATTTAATCAAGCGTTATTTGCGAGTACAATCACATACATTATACGGCAGTAATAATATTTAACATGCATGAAAAAGGAACACGTCTTTTCTTGGCCGATTCATTAAATGCCATCCGAAGATGTGATCAGTTTTCTCTAGGATTTCGATTAAAAACATCTTATGTTGCCATTATCTATGGATTTTAACACGATCATTTCCCAAGTTGGCATAATTTTCATATTAAGCAAAGCGCTCTATTTCTTTTTACGGAGAAATTTGGAGTATTAGAAACTACTATTATGCTTCGCTTATCATTGATTTAAGTTGATTATTTAAATAAATTAATGTTTTGATTCGCCATGTTTCCTTGGTCACTACTTTTCTATGCTAATAACGCACTAGAAAATTATTCCCCTCTATGGTAAATAGTATCTATCTTTAATACTAAAACCATAAAATATATAGATTGTAATGTTATATATATGCAAATTTGTGGTATCATCGAGTTACCAGTTACTAAAAAGTCGCAATAACGTTCTCGCCTATCACATTATGCACAATTTACGATACTCGTAGTACGCATTTACATATCGAGGTCAAATATCAGATCGTTCTTAAATTCCAATTGAACGGCATCTTTCGCGGATTGAACCGAGGTATCGGCTTGAACATCTTCGGTGGATTTTTCTTCAAAGCTAGATTTACGCTTATGTGAAATATGTTTGTCATCGGCGTTCGATTTTGCGATCTCTATATTGGCGGTTCTTTGTTGCTGCGAATGCTTATCACGAGCGAGAATGGGTTTCACGTTCTCAGAAGCTTCCTCATTTGGTGAACGCTTATAATCTACTTTATATTTGTCACGCTCTTCGGTTTCAGAATTCTCACTTTCGCTTAGTCGGCGATCATGCGCGCGTTTCTTGTTACGCAGCTTACGTTGATTCTTCTTTCGCTGCCCAAGAATACTCGAATTAGATCTAAAAAAGAAAATAAATTAATAAACATATCGCTTGTAAGAAAAATGTAGTTGCGAGAAAATAAAGCAAACTTATCTTTGTATTTCTTTTTCTCTCGTAAAAGAGAAAGAAAAAGAGATAATTGATCGAGATAATTGTAGATTATTCTGTGTCACAATACCTAAACAACTGTCGTGACACCACGTCGTTAAATCGCACAGTCTTTTTCAAACTGGAACAATCCGATTCGGAATTGATATCGTGTACAGAATCGTAATGGTCATCATGATAATCTGTACACGACGCGGGTAGGCTGTTTTCGTCGGCGCTCGACTCGGACATGGAACGCGAGAAATCGCGAGCGCGACGTGACTTTAATATGCCTTTCGAGTATCTCACACTGCTGCCGCTGCTATTGCTAGCCAATTCGTCTCCGCTGCTTTCCGAGACCGATCTGGCTTTCTCAATGACGTGCTTCTTCTCTTGCCGTCGCTTTACAACTCTCGCGCTTTCCTCGTGCTCCTCTTCGTCATCGGAATCCTGCTGATTTGGACGAATATTTATAACAACACCGTCACCTTGCGGCTCTACGGAGATTTGCCTTTCCACCCGAGGCTCGCCTTTCGGAGAGGACTGCAAAAATATTTTATTCATTAAAAACAATGTAACTCTCCTTATTATGATCTCTTTGCTACGCAACGTATTCGGTGTTATACCATTAATTCTTTGAACTTGTTCGTGAACGACGCTGCCGTAGGAAGATCCTTCCCTTCCATGAATTCTGTATCCATTCCGACGAAATATTGCGCCGCGTTCTCAATGTTCTTTACTGTGATGCTAAATACAACATTATTATCCCAAGGTTCAATTGTAAGAGTTTCCGGCTCGACACAGCCGTCTCCTATTTTAAGACACAGCGAGTAATATTGCGGAAAAAATCCAGCGCCCGTAGACGTCAACAAGATATGTATCCCTACGTTATCATCTAAAATTTTGTGGCGTATCGCATCCGGATTCACATTTTTCACGTTTATAACAATGGCTAGCTGATTATTGTAAATGTTACAGGTATAAGCTGGAAGATTGTATTTAACACTAGGATTCATAAACGCATCGGCGGTTCCTGTCGTATTACTAGTCCGTAAGGCAGTATCTTCACATTTATCCCTTACTTCGTTCGCTTCATCAAACTCCACATCTATGCACGCGTTCTCGCACTCTTCTACCAATTTAATTTTGTTACTAGGTAAGTCTGCCTCCTCATCCTTGGATGCTACTAATACAACGTTGCTCTCATCACTGTCAACCCCGTTATCCGCCCTATCGGTTTCACCTAGCGGCACCAACGGCCGAACGACCGGTAAAGTTACGATCAATTTCTTGTACTTGAGGTCAAATTTAGCACTGCCGCTATCTCCGTCAACGGGATATGGCAGTGGAAGATCCAGCAGATACCTCGCAGGCTTCTCGCTCTTCAAGGTAAGAGACCGCTCGTGTATGTCGAGCGTCGCGTCGCTCGCGCTCTTCAACAAGGGCAGGTCTATGGTAATCACCAATTTTTTGGGGATTGCGGCGAACATCTTTGCGTCGCGGCTCAAAGCAAAGTCTTCCAGCTCCACGTCGGACTGATGTTTTATGGAAAACTTGGGGGTGGCGTACGTTTCGTCCGCAGACATCCGCGGCTTGGCCTCGTAATAGGTGGTTGTCGGCGGGGCACGTTGCGGCCTCTCCTCCCTCTGCTTTAACCGGCTCTCGCGGCTCTCGTCGTAACTCGACATAATCTTCTGATAGATTTCCGGCTCTATGTCCAGCGGTTCCGTCGGCGGCGTTTCCGAGGGTTTCCTGATCACAGTGGGATGCGTCATCCCCTTGAAGCTGATCTTGGGAAACTTGAGATTCTTCCTGTCCAGCTTCACCTGGCGAGAAGCAGAGAGAAGCACGCGTTGGTGACGGCTGTTGGCTAAAGGGTCGAAAAGAGTCGAGAACACGCGTGGACACGTACCTTGAAGTTACTCTCCACGCCGTCCATCGCCGTGTCATTGACGATCTCGCGGAACCGCGCGTTCTTGGACGCGAGGTAGACGGTGTCCGGATGGAAGACCACGTCGAACACCACGCACCGCACGTTCCTCTTGTCAAGGTCATAGCGCGGCGGTACCAGGGTGTACGGGATGGACCACTGCAGGCCGCGGTGGCCCTGCTCGTAGGACGGCTGGCTGGTGGGACGCGCGACCACGTCGTTCTTGCTGATGTTCAGGAAGCACTTCCTGTCGCCATCCACGCTGGTCTTAATGACGTAACCGGGCTCGGGGTTAACGAACGTCACGTCTACGCCCCGCTCCTTCTCGAGCTGCGTGATCTCCCTCTCGTAGGTCCTCCTGTTATCCGGATCGGACACCTCCTCCGCGTACTCGATCAATAGCTTGCGGAACTCCTCCTTCTTCAGGCAGTCGGTCAGGTTCCTCAGTTCCTCGCGCGACACATTAAAGTCCTCCCAGTCCTTCCTGCGGGGCTCGTACACGTCCATCTTACGTCGCGCGTGTTTACAAATAGATCCGTCGGTAGAGACACCGAGAGATGAGCGGCGTAACACGTGGAACGCGGCGCCACCGCACCGGCCGGTCTCGGCACCGGCGGCTCGCCCGATGCGCCCGTCCGCTCACTTTCCTATCGACGACGAGCTCTCTCTCTCTCTTCCTCGCGGCGGTTTACGAACGAGCGAGTCTGTCCAAAGCGGATCCCTCGCGTCGCAAAGCGTTGACGCCGCGCAGTTTCGGTGGAACTACACGGAGATGTAACGTAATCGGTCGAGAGGACACGCTTGGCAGATTGGCAGATCGCCCGCGGCAACCCGAAGCAGAATCGGCCATGTTCTATAATTATTTAAACGCAGCTTTAGCGGCAAAAGCTAGCGCAAGCTTGTACCAATTGTTTATCGACTTGTCTGTGTAGTTAGCGAAATGAATGAACATTATAATAAATTTCATTACTTGATTTGATTGTAATTACTGTAATGAAGTGATGACATTTTTAATTTCTACTGGAAATGTAGAGTCATAGTAGACACGCACCGGCATAAATGCTGTCCCTATCCTTGTGAGGTGCACGCACACAACTACAGGGACTCTAGTGGACGAATGATATTGTTGCAGTTTCTTTGCGCCTATCAATGATGACATTCCGACTTTTCTAGCATTGAATTTGACTCTTTCATAATCCCCGCCACCCAATATACAGTTTTTTTCACTAAAAATGTAACTAGTTACAGTTACAAGTCACCAATTCTGAAAAGTAACGCGTCAAGTCTATTACACAATGCCAGGCATCAAGCAACAGGAACAGGGAATAGAATTTCTGACGCGTTGGATTGGTTGGAAGAAAATTTCTGACGAATCCAACGCGTCAAAAATTCTATTCCCTATTCCTATTGCCTGGCATTGTGTGATAGGCTTTACAGTTACACTTACTAGAAAAGTAACGAATTGCTATTTTGCAGTTACTTTCTTACAATGAAAATAAAAATATCAAGTCTGCATTTCAATTGTAAAGTGCCGATGAAGGCGTTTATGCGCAAACGCAAGCCCTAATACAATCTGTGGAGGTTTAAAATACATATATAAAGTAACTGTTGATGTAACTATTATAAATTAGTTACTACCCGGGGAAAAAAAAGACATATCCAATTTAATTGTGTCAAAAATATGTCAGATATGATAAAACTTGATCAGATTATATCCAAATTTTAGTGCGTCCATTTCTAAATATATCAAATCAGATGTGGTCAGATGTAGTCAGACGTTTATACCGTTCGATCTGACTATAATCTGATTTGACATACTTATAAATGGATGCGTGAAAATTTGGATGTAATCTGATTAAATTTTGTCACATCTGACATTACTCGATACAATTGGATAGAATTGCATATATGGCTTTTTTCCCCGGGTGCTTGTCGAAAAAATCTAACTGGGTTGAGCTACAGTTGCAGACGGAGAGAAAGTGACGAAGTTAAGTTAGAGTTACCAAAAAAAGTAACTGTAACTCCGTTACAAGTAACGGGTTACTTCCCAACCCTGTGTATGTACGATACGTACCGCGCATGTGATGGTGTAAGAGACCTCCGTGCATGTAGGCACAGAAAGGTTGCAGAAATATCGCGGCATAATATTGCGTTTCACCCAGTCAACCGATCGGTGGGGGTCGTAGGCTGCGGCGAAGATGTAGGGATCACGCAGTTTACGGTGTCTGACCCACTAACATTCTCCTCAGTTATCTCGGCGGCGGCCTCGATAATCCGCGTGTTTCCTGGAGGAGAACTCGCGTATATACACGGCGCGTTCGGCGACCTAGCGATATTTAAAAAAAAAGGAACAAAATGCGCCGAAATCACGGCCTACTGTTATCGTTATCGACGTGCCTGACTGTAGTCCTCTTCGTTCTGAACGCGCGGTCGTTCACGGAGTTACTCGGGTCCGAAGTTATCGCTGAAAAACGTAGCGCGTTGAAGGTGCAGATAGCATCGCGTGCCGATGATCGATGGAACACTCGCAGCCAGGTGAAGACTACGCCTAAATCACATGCCTATACGCAAAGAAGATTTAACGTAGATCGCACATCAGCGTGGCATGGACTGGAAAAGTCTGAGAAATCCCGTTATCGAAGTTATCTCGGAATGTTTCTGCTCGAATCTAAGGCCTAATCTACGACGTGCACTTCGCGTCTCGAAACATTCTACTTTGTTGCCAATAAATAAATACGTTTGAAGAATTCGACGAATTGTACATTGCACGTTGTACAATCGTACGTTGTCGACGAATTTTTTGAAGCTTTTAATTTGCTTGTGCAAAACTGACTGTTTCTAGACGCAAAGAGCACATTGTATTAATAGTCAGATCTTATTTGAGACCGTGCTTGAATTTATCTAAAGATGCTGTACGGAGTATCTCATCACTTATGGAGCGTCTCAAGATAATCTTAAAAGGGTCTTGAATAGAAGATTTGACTACCAAGTCTTAGAATTTAATGTATTCTCCGGGCGCGTATCAAGTCGAGACACGTGCTCCCGCAATGTGTCCAGATTTAATTCTGTATTTAGTGAACGGTGCGGCGTCGAATAATGTAATACACCGGAGATCATTCGTGCTTGCGCAACGGAGAATGCATTCCTCGAACGTGAGACGTGCACGACGGAGCGAAAGCGCGTTGTCGCCACGTGCCATTTGCAGAATCGTACGCGGTGATCGAATGTGATCGGCAATTTACGCGCAGTTAAATCCCGGCCTATCCTCAACGAGGAATAATTTGGAAAACCAAAAGAAAAAACACGACGTTCGTTCACCCGTTTACGTCACGAAACACGACGATTAACGACGATTATTTACGATTGTTGTAACTGTCAAATAGGCGCGCCGGTATGTTACGCCGTCTCTCGCTGAATTGGGCGACTTGCCGTACAAGCACAAGCACGTTCTCATGCTGACGCGCGTACCTGGTGCGGGCGCCGAGTTGATGGTGCTGATCCTGCAGCGGTTGCAAGGGTACAACGCTTTCAAGCACATACGTCTGCCACCGGGCTATCACGGACTCTTGTCAACCTCGCAGCAGGTTCGGGACAGAATTCTCTTTGACTTGTGTCCGAGACTTGTTACGAATAATTTAATTACCCATACAGCACCAAAGCTTTCAGAAACATTTCAGAAACATTGCAACATTGCAACAATGTTTTCTGAAATGTCTATTTTTTTTAATTTATGTCATTTCACAAAAGATTCTCGGAGGTGCGTGTAATTTCCCGGGGGAAAAATTGAAATAACTCATTATATATGTCTCATTCGTGTAATATCTAATTATATCCAATTCTAGAATCATCAGATCTTCAGAGATCTGACACTTTTACCGAATATTCAATGTTATTGTCTATTGAGATCTAATTATGTTCTCTTGGGACATTTAATTATAGATTTAGTTAGATCTCACTAGAATGCTGAACACTCCAGGAAAGTGTCAAGTCTCTGAGGATCTGATTTTTAAAATTGGACCTCATGAGATATAATTAGATGTTACGTGATTGAGACGCACATAATGAGATTTTTTCCATTTTCTCCCGGGTTATTCAAGTTGCAAACCGTGGGATATTTTTGATTCGGCAGGAGTTGCTGGTGGAAGAAATTACAGGTATTATCAGACAAGAAGCTATTCCCTTAACTTTCGATGGGGACGTAAGGTTCCTAAACTTCTCGGCATTTGGACAGCAAGGGCCTACCTTTATATCTTTAGTGAGAGATCCTTTGGATCCACGAATTTGGCAAAGGTATGTGGGCGTGGGAAGTATTTTCCTTCTAACTCTCGAGAGAAGGGAGGATGAACGAAGGTAGAGAATACTGAAACGTAACAAAGTTTCCGCAATAAAATAACCATATTGCTTTGACATGGCTTAGGAATAAAAAAGGAGAAGAAGAGACGCCTTACCATGGGGTTATACCTTACTTTTGTGGACAGAATCCGCATTGTACGTAAGTACCTAACATTTTTGTCAGCGCAAACAAATTTCATTGCGTATAAATTCACGTCACATTCTGTTGCGCGTCGAGGCACCTCTGTTAATTTATCTCAACGTTGAGCGAGAGCAAATATTTTCGCGAAAAAAGACAAAGTAGTCGCTATTGATTTTTACGCTGCACACGTGTTTCGCTCTAGGACACGAAATAATACGTGGGCGATGGAGCGAGCTAAAGCAAATGTTATTCGATGGTATCCTGTTGTTGGCATATTGGATTACATGGAGGAGTCGCTAAACGCCCTTGCAGCTGAATTCCCCTATTTTTTTAAGGGCGCCATACGTGTCTATCATCATTTGCGTAAGTACACGTATAAGCATTGCCGCCCACATACAATATCTACATAAAGCAATGTAAACTTATTGAGCATCGCGTCTCTGTCATTCTCCAACGCACGTTTCCTACGTACAGGATCAAACAGGAAACATCCGTCCATCTCTTCAGCAACTTTAAAGCTACGAGTTAAAGACGCGACCTTGAGAAAGGTGCTCGCACAGGAAGTAGAGTTTTATCAATGGTTAAAATCCCGACTTCTCGATAAAACCGGGAGGAAGAATGGTCGTACCGGCGATCTAGTGAGTTCTGAAATGTCTGATTCCCAGCGTCATCACGTCCATTTTCTGGACATAGAAAATACGTAGCCATATTTTTTCGATATGGTAATTCATCGATATATATAAAATAGACTGCTGATTGTATCCTTAATAATTAAGTCATAAACGAGTAGACTTGTGGCGAGCGATCAATTCAGTAGCTAAGCAAAGATTCGGAAAGTATGTGAATGGGCAAACAATTGTTTGTCAATTAACACTGTTATGAATGATATTTTAATCATATTCCAGACCGACCTACTGTAACAAACTAGTCGCCAAATTGATATTAAATTGATTTATTTATATAAAACAGCAGTATTTTATACACTGACAAGGGGAGGACACGCGGTGCCCCTCGCCGGTTGAAGCGGTGATTTTTTTATACGTAGTCCTCGATGAGGAAAAGATTTTGTGAAAGTATGAGCGTGCGCTTCTCATGCATTCGTCCAAAAAAAATGTTAAAGATTTAGATTTCGTACTTAACACTCTGCGGTAATAAAGTTTTCGTTAAAAAAACGTTTTGTATAGCTGGGTCGTTAACTTTCCGAATTTTGAAATAGTAACAACGATGTTTTTGTACTTTGTTACTAATTCATCAATAGATTTTTTAACCCTGGACCCAAAATTACCCGTCGATTCTTGTAAACGCGCAAATACACATGGTATCAATTTTCCTCTTGGAGAGGACAAATGTATACGATGAAAAAAGACAATGAGAGATTTTATCTAGAAAAAATTGCATTTAAATTCTCTCAATTGTCCGTCATAAATTATCGTCGCTATTTGCCGTTATGTTGCATTGCGCATGGTTTGCTGCAAAACTTTGTAATAAAGAAGAAATTTTTGTAAATGTAAATCTAGTCTGCTTTCCTATAGACGTTAAAATGCCCTGTAGATGCAAAAATGCTGCATTTATTAAATGTACAAGGTATGCTATAACTTTCATTACTTTTACGACCAGTGCCGCACAAAATCTTGCACTGCTAATTCCACCGATTAATGTACAACAATTTTGTTATACATAACAACGTTGACAATAAAGAATTTATACCATTTATTTCATTAATTTTCTTTTTTTATATATCATTTAATACTAACAAAATGCTGATCGCAACGATAAAAATTATAAAAGTATGATAAGACAAAAATGATTAATTATTGTAAAATTAATTTTGTATAAAAACGGTTGAACATTGCACACAATTCTTTTGCGCAGTTATTTTGCCTACGGTTCTTTTGCCCACGGTCTTTTTGCACACAGTTGGATAAAGCACACCTACATATTCATAAGTAATAATATATTCATTGTTACAAGTTCGATCTCTTGCGTCACAAATAATCTTTTGCTTCTTTTTTATTGCCGCATAAAGGTTAGATCATGACTGGCAGCTGAGATCGTCATTATGATGTTAAATGTGGCAATTAAATTTCAGTTGTAAGATGTGGTCATCTAATATTTAGTTGTGATAGCTAAACATTTTGCAGCTGTGCCTATCGTATTAAGTGCGACAGCAACCCGTTTGCTGTGGTTTAGAAATTTATAGTTACGGTAGCAAAATATTTTAAATATTTTTAGCGAACCGATTAGCTTACCACGATAGCAAAATTATTTTTTAGTGCCAGCGCTGCACGTAGGTAGGTTCGCCGATGAGTACTGACTATCGGATAGCCAGTCAAACAGAAACGTTCTCAACGAAGACTCGGTTGGAGGTAGGTCGTGCATTCTTCGCGCGTTCTCACGATTCCAGGTGCGATGTCATGGATAAATGACAACACCCTGAACTGGTTTCAATCCCTGGTTTTAAGGATTGTCAAGACCGGTCAGATACCTGGACACGTGGCGTTAATCATGGACGGAAACAGACGTTACTCGAATAAACAGAATTTGAGAAAAGTGGAGGGAACCTTGAGAGGGTGAGCATATGTTTGAAGAGTCGTCGTCCGTTATTCTTGTCTTATTGTTAGGCTGGTATTACATTTGTCGTACAAAAAATTTTTTAAGTATGTTGATTGGCTGCAACCCAGCAAACACAAAGTAACAGTTATATAACTGTAAGTTAAAATTTCCTACTCAACAATATAACTGTTATACATATAACACGTGTGTTATGTAACAGTTATATTGTTGAGTAGGAAATTTTAACTTACCTACAGTTATGTAACTGTTACTTTGTGTTTGCTGGGAAGATAGTAAAATTCTCAAATATCTAGAGATTTTTCTATTCAGCAGCCAATCAATATGCTTAAAAAAATTGTACGACAAATGTAATATTAGGCTTATTATACCTCATGTTTTATTTATGACAGGTTTATAAAAATGACCGAGACGTTGAATTGGTGCATGCATCTCGGCATTACGGAGATTACGGTCTATGCTTATAGCATAGAGAACTTTCAACGCAGCAAGGAGGAAGTTGATATATTCATAGATTTTGTCAAGCAGGGATTCAAGTGTCTCTTAGAGGAAAGGTATACTCGACATGTTAAATCGGGCCTCGCGTTGCAGTGATTGCGACTAGGGGTGCACGATCTCGATTCGATTCCGTCAAGCTCGATGAAAAATCGTAAAAATCGATCTTTTGAATCGATTCTTTACTGTGTCGATCTCATATGAATCGATCCTTTACGCTCAAAATCGACGAGTCGATTTTTCTTTTACTTGATAAGTCTGTTTAAATCGCATGTCCCAACACTTTGACTACCTAAAGCTGGGTATACATCTACGAAACGAACAGCGAACACGAACGTTTGATGTTATAATTCGGCAGGTGTATACGCCGAAGCAAATGCGAACAGAATGTTCGATTCGCATAGTTGCGAGATCTTGATTTCTGTAATTCAATTCTGTATCTTACACCAGGGTGAAGATGCTAAAAGTGAGTAGCTTTGTCTCTTTCTAACTGTCGCCTTACGCGGTGTCTACAATGAGATATCAAGACGTAAGATTTAGGAAATTGACCAATTACATCAGAGTATTCTTCTCACATTCGACTATGAGTGATTAATTTCTTAAATATTACGTCTTAAAGTCTCATTGTAGACACCGCATTAGAAAGAGACAAAACCGCTCACTTTTAGCATTTTTACTATAGTGTAAGATACAGAATGGACGCCCTGTTCTTTATAGCTGAACTGGCTGCACTAGTCCAGAGTTTCTCTTTTTCCCCTCCACGTTAGAAGGAGAAAGATAAACTCTGAACTGCTGAACTAATGCAGCCAGTTTAGCTATAAAGAACAGACCCCTTGTTGCAAATGTACAACTTTCAGGGAAAAACTGCAGAAGGCTGGAGTGTGCATTCGCGTGATTGGCAATTTGTCCTTTCTCCCAAAAGATATGTGCAAGTTGATCGCCGAAGCTATTGTGATCACTAAGGATAACAACAAAATAATTTTTAATCTTGCTCTTTCTTATACATGTAAGTATGATCATCGTAAGTCATATTTACATTCGCAGTTACTTATTTTTTATACAAAGCATAAATAAAATTATATATAATACATGTATAATATACAGAAAAAGTGTAATGTGTATATATAATATTATAATTAAAAAAACATATAAGTTTTATATTTTTTAATATCTGCAGCAAGGGATGAAGTTACTAGTGCAATTAGGGATATAGGAAGAGGTGTAAAGCGTGGTGAAATTCTGCCAGAAGATGTTGATGAAGACCTGATTAACGACTGTTTGTACTTTTACAAATCTCCAAATCCGGATTTATTAATTCGTACTTCTGGAGAGACTCGACTTAGCGATTTCCTTATGTGGCAAGTAAGAAGACTACTTTATTCTTGTAGCTCGAATATATTTCTTCTCCTATAATTCGTCGAGACGGAAATTTACCCAATTTTTTTTTAGATTGCTGACTCCTGCATCTACTTCACCGATGTACTGTGGCCTGAATTTAGTATATGGAATTTTCTTGCTGCAATCTTTTATTATCAGAGATGTTTTCCTGACTTGCAAAAAAAAAGGAATACGACACCGATCGTGCGTAACAGTAGAGTATCCATGTTTATTGATAAGTTGCATCGCGAACGCGATATTATGATTGAAAATATGTATCTATCTGATCTATCAACCGTTTCTAGAAACAAATAAACGCTATTCCAGTAAATATAAGTATCAGTGAGATATGATGAAAACGTATTGCATTGTATCTTGCTTTGAGCTAACTGTTCATTGCAATATAATTAATTTGTTTGTCTCGAGTTTTATTCTATCTCGTGAATATATTTTTCGCAATACATTTTCTCTAATTAGAATTGCTAGTTGCGTTGTTTATCACTTTTCCTACATTGGTTAATTCGTTAGTCGCGCTTATTGATACCTAAAATTCACTCTAATTTCTAACAACAGACGTTTTAAATGTGATTTAGTACCTTGTGTTTCGATTTGTTAAGTAGTTTTTTTTGCATCGCATCAGAAATGGAAAATAAAAGTGAGCATTTCCGCCATAGTTTGCTTTTTTATTACCGTAAAGGTAAAACTGCAGTAGAAGCGAGAAAAACTTATGTGCCGTTTACGGAGAGGATGTGTTGAGTAAACGCCAGCGTCAAAATTGTCGAAATTTTGTTCTGGTAATTTCAACTTGAAAGATGTACCACCCGAGAGATACCTGAGAGCGGCCACGTCGGCTTTTTTTTACTAGATACCGTTTCAAGAGACTTCTCTTCGATTTTTCCCAAATATTTGGGGAAAAAAACTAGATTCTCCGAATATTTTCGTTGTCATACAATGTATCATACTTGATCATATTTAGTAACGCATATTCCGTGGTATCGTACGAATGGTAGCACAAAGAAGTGAATTGATGATTTCGACGCATTTGACTGAAGTCAAAGAAGTCGAAGAAATCTTTGTAAAATAATTATAAGAAAAACCAATTAATTAAGAGTACACTTATATGTACGATTTCTTACACCACGGTACAATTATTTCGTGCTTTCTTACATGCGCCAATCAGTCTGTCGGAAATGATCACATGATCATTCGTACATGTTTCTATTTTCAAGTGAGAGATTCTGTCTCTAACTTGTCTCCTTCAATTCCATTACTAACGAAAGTGACACGAGGAGCTAGATTGTTCCCGAAAATTCTAGACAGACATATGACGACCCTACGTGCAAGATACAAGAAGAAGGATCTTTCCGTCTAAAGACTCACTCTCATTTGTAAAGTCGTCGAGCACAGAGGTGCATGTAAGTATTCGAATTGATTAATTTAGTGTCCACCTGCAATCTGAATAGCAATTATTTTCATATAAAACCTGATCAACAGGGAACACAATATGGAAAGTCAACCGCAAGGAAACGATTCAAAAATGACAACGGTTAGATGGATAGCTTTAATTATTAGAGATTTAAGATGCACGTGGCTAAAGCGATATTTCAGTTTCATAAATTGCAAGGCAATCTGCAGACAGCCAAAATGCAGTTGCACTATTGAGCTATTTCAAGGAGTAGGATATACCTTAAGGGATCACCTGGATGAATGTCATAAAATTAATAAATATTCAAGAAATGTATGTGAAGGAACTGAAGATAACATAGATTGTATGAACAAATTAATTGCTGCACTAGAACAACCTGTAGATCGAGCAAGTAATGCCAGTTTAAGTTTAGATGTAAAAATACTATACTGTATTTAATTTTTTAATTTAATAAACTGTAGATGAAATAATTAATGCCCTGTCAATTTTTAATGTCGCAATAGATCACTTTGTAACTCAATCAAGTGATGCCAGCCCATGTTTAAATGCAACAACACAACAAACTGGAGCTCAAGAAAGTGTTACCGATTTAGATTTAAAAGAAATGATAAAACAAGCTATAGCTGAAGTACGTGATGCTAGGTCACGTTTAGACACAATTATACAACAATCAATGGATCAAGCAAGTGACGCCGGAGATACTTCCTAACTGACGATTCAAATTTAGATGCAATAACGCAACAAACTATAGATCAATCAACTGACGTGCTGCGTGCTTGTGATGCCAGAGATGCAACAATACAACTTGTAGATCTAAC